TTCTCACTAAAGATCCCACCGCCCAAGCAAGATGCCAATGGGAAGGTGGCCAACCCATTGCAACTGCTTGACCCGAAGGCCCTCGAGGTGCTGAATGTTGTCACGCCAAAGCCTGAGCTGATCGTTGTCGGCGGCGGCGCAAATACGTCTCCACTGTCGCCCGGTGCAAGGAAATATTTGACAGCCATTGGGATCAATGTCGAGTTTGCTAGTACCAGATATGCGAGCAGCACATTCAACACTCTTTCTGAAGAAGGTCGACATGCGGCGTTGCTGGCCATCCCGTCAGGAGTCAAGATCTGAGCGCATTGCCATCATTAAGCAGAACTCAGCTGCTCCCGATTTCTTGGTGTATTTTGTTTATAATAAAAAACGATTATATGCATAGTTTAGTCAGTGAAAGGAAAGATGCAACAAAGGCGACGAGAAAAGGAAGATGTACCCATGAGATCCACGCACAATGAGTTTATTTATTCGCTGCTGCTCTTGCTACTAATAGTGTCCAGTGCATTGTACTCAATATCGCCTGCTGGCTTGTGCTCATAGCCCTTGAGCGGGAGCACCCGGTCGACCAACTGGTGGATACCATAGAGCACATAGTACGCGACCAGGAAGCCAGCAAGAATACCCAGGATTACTGGAAACTCGACAGCTTTGAGCTTTTTGTAGTTGAGGAAGCTGTAAGTGAACCACCCATTGATGGCCTCGTTCAAGTAGGCTAGCATCACATACAGCAAGCCAATAAAGCTCAGCACAGTCGGATGTGTCCAGTGCGGCGAAAGAACCATAGCGCCAACGAACATGTCGACGACCATAAACACCGTGTTCAGCGCATGCACCGATGCTGTGGACCACAGACTCGCCGAGCTCTTGTATTCGCTGGACTTGAACAACACACCCCAGAATATCACAGTCACAACAATGGCGTAAACAAGCGCTGAGCTGAACAGAAGCCAGTGCATAAGCTGCAAAATGCGCGGCATGCTGGTGAATGACGACGCAGTGCCTCGCCGCCAAAACTGCACAGTGTGGAACAGCGAAGAGGCAAAGTAGGCCAAGAGTCCTGTGTAGCAGAGATTTGTAAAGTACGCGAAGTGGCCGCTCATTTTGCCATGCCGCGCATCGCTGACAATGGTGAATATCCACACAGTAAGCGTGTATGTAAACAGCACCGAACGCACAGCAACCGAGCCTACTGGACTCAAAAGGCGCGAGCCGCTGACACGGCTGTGGTTGAGAGTGTGCAGCCGAAACAGCTTGTGTGCACGGTTAAAATCATCATCTGCGGACTGGTCCCTCATCTGCACGCTTCTACTGATAGAAATAGTGATGTGCTGATGGTATATTGATGAAGATGAACTGTTTCTTTTTGCTCGTATGAGTTGACAGAGAACCAGGAGAAAAACAAGAGAGGCTACGAGGAGAAAGAGGAAGAGACGAACGCTGAAATTTCTGCCGGGAGCGTCGTGATTTTCATTGCAAAAACGTCCGTTCTGGTCGTGGGGCGTTTGATAGCTGCCAGCTTGCATTTCGGTTGTCTGCCTGCCTGGTATGTACATACATTTGCATCTATTGTTGCCGGTGGTGTGATGCTGTGATCACGGCCCTTTCTACCACCCTTAGTGTCTTATTGTTCTTGCCACTGAGCAATGCCCCTCGGAGGATGCCACAAAAGGTGACTTGCGTCCCTGGAAAGACTACTTTAGTCGCCGCGCTCAATACAACCACACAACAATAAAGCGCAAAAACTCTTGGCACCTTTGGAGGTCAATAGACTTGCATGTCACAAGCCAAACGCCATGGCTTGGTCAAGTGGTTTGTCAGGTAGATACCCGGCCTGCCACCGGCCCCCTTAGTCCTCAATCCCAACACATGAATCGGCGAACACACGGTGCACAGCACACGACCTCAGACATACGTTAGACACTGGTCCGGATGGCCATGGTGTTTGAGCAGTAGTTTTCCCAGCTGATTGATCGGCCCAGGCCGAGGTTCAAATCAGGCTCAGCACGCGACGGTCCCCTCCCCAGCCCCAGCAGCTCAAAACCTGCAGAACTCAAGCCGCGACTCTCGCAGCACCTCCGCCTTGCCTACAAACCAGAGACACCTGAGTGCATTTATCGAACAGGGCCTTTCATTTGCCTTTCAGCAACAAACAGTTTCCCTCCTCCCTCAAAATCCAAAAGAAAAAACGCGCTAGCCATAATGTCGACTGAAATTGCACCCAGGTGGACCGACGAAGAGCTCAACAGCGACGGCGTCAGCAAGAAGGACCTCATCAGCTACCTGCAAGAAACCGGAAGCAACGATTTCCTCCTTGCGCACAAGCTCAATGGCAAGTTAAACAACGTGGCCAAGACCGCAAAGAAGCCAGCCCTGATCACCGCCTACAAGGCGCTCTTTGAAACCAAGCAGTTCCGCTCCAGCGACGAGGTATCGGCTGCCGAGATCAAACACGAAAAAACCGAGGCGCCAAAGGACAAGGCCAGCGAAGAGGTGCACCAGCATGAGAAAGAGGTGCCCAAGTACACAAAGAAGGTGACCAAGAAGGGCACCGGTGAGCGTCTCCCCAAGAAGGGCGACCGTGTCAGCGTGTACTACACCGGTATGCTCGAGGACGGCACTGTTTTCGACACCAACACCAAGCCTAAGGGCCGCAAGCCCGTGTCGCCTCTAGTGTTCAAAGTCGGCACTGGCCAAGTCATTCGCGGCTGGGACGAGGCTCTGATGACTATGGTCCAGGGCGAGAAGGCCAGACTGACCATTGAACCCGAGTGGGCGTACGGTCGTCAGGGACACGCGGCAGCGGGGATTCCACCCCACGCTGCTCTGATCTTTGATGTCGAGCTTGTCGTTGTCGACTAAGCCATTGGGTACGGCGATGTCTATATGCCTTTTCTTGCAATTTTCTATCCACGTGCGGCACGCTACTGTAAATTCCAAGATCAACAGCCACTCAACCCGCCTCTCACTAGTTTACTGCTCCTGCTGTTTCCTACCGAGCATTGACGCGACAAGGCATGCGCGTGCACTTAATAAAAGCGCCAGCGCCAATGGCTCTTGTGTACACATCGTGCGCGCAGCCCACCACTGAAAAAAAGGCGTGAGGAGAGAGGCCAAGTTGGCCCAGTTCCAGCCTGCGCGATATCTCAAATCTTACCATCATTCGATGCGCTCGAATGTCCGCCGCATCAGCTGTTTTTCTTAGTGCCTGAGCTCCTAGCCATTCTTCCACCTTGATTGCTTTAAGGCTAGCATTTTTGCACCAAGCTTTTGTTTCTCCTTATCTTTTCTCTACTTGTTTCCTGTTTTGAATTCCAGATCTCCCTCTTCCATTTGCCTCTTATTTGTAATTCCAGCTCACCAAGCAGCTCGACGTGGGCGGTTTATACAGACAAGGGAAAAGACACACCATGAACGTGCTTGGAGTTCGCCTTTTGCGCAACTCGGTCGCCATGCCACGCCCGCTTCTTACAAGCAGGCTGGCAAGCAGCTCATTCACGCTGCCCACCACACTCTCTCGCCAGCTCAGTATGTCAAGCCCTGCTGCACCGACCGGCAAGCACCATACCATGGCTGTTGATGGGTCGTGGCTTCCTGCGATCCTCGGACGCGCTCAGTTCCTGCAAGCTGCAAAGTCGCCCACCAGCAGACGCAGCATGATCCCTCAGATCCCAATCAGCGGGGAGTTCAAGAGATACTCGTCTACTGCAAGCTCGGCAAGCTCTAGCGGGGCAGCCGCCGCAAACACCAAGGAGGGTGGCGGCAAGCGCACTGTCGATGCACCAATCGTCGGCTACTGGACGCTCTTTTGTGCCTCGATGGTGTTTGGCATCATCGTGTGGGGTGGCCTTACTCGGCTGACCGAGTCGGGACTCTCGATCGTTGAATGGGCGCCGATCACAGGCGCCAAGCTGCCGACCAGCGATGAGGAGTGGGAGGTGGAGTTCGAGAAATACAAGCAGTTTCCCGAGTACCACAAGGTGCACATTGGTATTTCGATAGACGACTTCAAGAGGATCTACTTTATGGAATGGTTCCATCGTAACGTCGGCCGTCTCTTTGGCGTCGTTTATTTGCTCCCTGCCGCGTACTTCGTCTCCCGTGGGATGGTCACTCGTGCGGGCACGGCCAAGATCGGCGGCCTGGGGCTGCTGCTCCTTGGCCAGGGTGCCATGGGCTGGTATATGGTCACTTCGGGGCTCGAAAAGGAGCTTGGTGAGCGGCCTGATGCTGTCCCGCGCGTGAGCCAGTACCGGCTTACCTCGCACTTGACTCTTGCCTATCTCCTCTATGCTGGGCTCTCCCTATACGGGTGGAACATATTCCGCGCCAACCGTCTCCTCAAAAACAAGGTTGCCAACCCTGATGCTCTGCGCACCCTTCTGCAAAAGCCAGCCATAGTCTCATATCGCCGCAAAGTTACTGCCGCCACCCTGCTGGTCGGCACAACTTGTCTCTCGGGAGCCATGGTTGCTGGTCTTGATGCTGGTCTGATCTACAACGAGTTCCCTATGATGGGCCTTGGAATTACGCCGCCGCTCTCAGAGCTGTGGAATGCGGCATTTGCTCGTGGCGATCCCTCTGCCATGTGGAGGAACCTCACTGAAAACCCAGCGACCGTGCAGCTAGAGCACAGAGCCCTTGCTATGACCACCTTCTTTGTGCTCTCGGCTCTTTGGTGGCAGGGGCGCAAGCTACCTCTACCCAGGGCGTCCCGCATCGTGTTGCATTCGATGTACGGGCTGGCATGGCTCCAAGTCGCGTTGGGAATCAGCACCCTGGTCAACTTTGTGCCCATCGCCTATGCATCTGCTCACCAAGCGAACTCGGTCCTTCTGCTCGCTGCAGCCCTAGGCGTCTACCATACACTGCGTCCTCTGCCTCGCATCCCCCTCTAGAAGAAAGCTGCAGGAATTTTGGTCTCTCCTACGCGGGAAGAACGACAAAATAAAAAGAGCAATGTGCAACCTCCGCAGCAGACAGGCTGGCTAAAAGGATAGTTGCGGTGGGGTTCGAACCCACGATCTCAGAGAGAGCAGAACTTAAGTCTGCCGCCTTAAACCACTCGGCCACACAACTAAAACTAGTGGAAAGGCAATCCGCTCCGCAGCTTTCCGCCCCCAGGAAAAAGTCCACCCACATGTATGCACGCACTGCCATCTCGACATGTGCCATGCATGCCTCCTACTGCACCTGCCACATGCGACGACTATGTGAGAGGGTGTATATTATACCACGTACGTATTTGCGATGCACAGCTACAGAGTGACATCTAGATCTACGTCTAATGCAGGCGGCGTTCCGCTTCAGTACCAGCCAAGGAGCTTCCACCATGTCAACCCGACAGAGAAAGTCACGCCGAGGATAACCAGCGACGAAAGCAGGCCGAGAAGGAACCACCGCGGCTGTGAGATATACCCTTGGGAGGCATACATCGCTACCGATCCAGTCGAAAATGGCGTCAACACACCGGCCATGGAGCTGAAAAGAGCGATGATGATAGCCAGCAGCCTCGGTGGGCAGCTAAGCACATGGCCAGCGGCAAAGAATGGGCCAGCAAATGCGACGACGTGGCTCGAGATTGACGAGAACATGTACATGGAGAAGAAATACACCATCGAGAGCGACACAGTGCTGGTGAGCGGCGAGGCATTGTGCAGGGATTTTGACAGCGAATTGCCAATCCAGTCAGTAACACCCAGTGCCGTCAATTGCTCGGCCAACACAATGAACGAGGCGAGCCAAAAGAAAGTATCCCATGCCTTTGCGTTCTTCACCACATCGTCCCAGGCAAGCACATCGAGGAGAATCAGAACGACAATGGCCATATACGCGACTACAGTTGCGTCGATGCCAAAATACGCAGTGCCCACCCACAGGACGAGGCAAAGCAGTAGCGTGCCGCACAATTTGAGCTCATCCACAGAAATAGGGCCCAGCGTGTGGTGTTGTCGACGGATCTCGCGGGCCAACCGAGTGAAGTCCACTTTGGGTCTGAGCACCATGTGCATAATTGGGGGCAGTATGAATATTAGCAGAAGGGTAGGCACACTGGCACCCAGGAACCACTCGGCGAACCCGAAATCAATGCCAAAGATGCTCGCCGCCTTGCTCGCGACAATCGGGTTACCAGCCATGCCAGTGACAAACAGCGAGGACGAGAGGAGGTTGGCGTTCGATGCCACAATCGAAAGGAACCCGCCCACGGGGTTCTCACCCATCTGCGGATCGACACCAAGTGCTAGGATCACAGACTCGACGATCGGATAGACGATTCCACCACCACGCGCCGTGTTCGATGGAATGAATGGTGCCAGCGCGAGCTCGGCCAGACACACGGCGTAGGCAATGCCGATTGTGGATCTCCCCATCGACTTTACTAGGACGAGAGACACGCGGCGGCCGAAATTGGTCTTTTCAACGGCTTTACCAATATGGAATGCGCTAAACACTAGCCATGCCACTTTGTTTGAGAACCCCGACACAGCTACGTCGAAACTGCCCCCAATCGCATCGCACTTGTATTCCTGCCAATGCCCCGTGGCGTCCTGGTAAGTCGTGCGGCACTTGTCGCATTCCACTAGCCGGCCATCTGCTGTCGTGCACATGAAGCTTTGGGTCAGCGTCAACACAAGCAATGCTACGGCCAGTATGACCGACATGTCGTAGTCAGCCGTAAGCAGCCCCATGACCACACTAAATGTAGAGAGGAAAGTCCTCACAAGACATCAAGAAGGCATGTGGTGTGCAAAGTTAATCACAGTGGAGAACGCAGCGAATGCTTTGTCCATGCATAGGTGAGGTGGGTTCTTGGAAAACTTACCCTGCAAACACAGCAAGCAGCCTCATGCTGGTATATGACAATCCGTCGGGAACTGGGAGGTTAGCTATGACCACGGCAATAAAGATTGCAGGCAGCGCACTGACGAGCCGAGACTCCTTGGCCAGCTGTGACCAGCTCTTTCGGCTGCCTACATACTGGTACAATTGTAGCGCAGTTCCGCGAGGCATATTCAGGTGTGCAGGGTGAACGGCAGGCAAGCCGAATTCAATTAATGGAATATTACAAATATACAGAGCAGGAAGAGCGAGTGAGTGGAGGCAAGGTGGCCGAGCGAACAAGTGTGCGTGGGTTGGAACATGTCGTAGTTTGGATCCTTAGGCTACTCAGCGGGCCTTAAAGCATATGCGCACTGGCTGCAGTGGCGGGGAAGAAAAGGCTCCACAGCGGGGGTGGCCAGTGCAATACACAATAGAGCCTATACTCGCAGCTAGCCAAGCCCCCTTCAGCGCGATTCGCCAGGCAAAAAGAGGGGGCCGTTCCCCCGCAAATACACAAAAAGGGCTCGAGGCACAGTGCATGATTTATATTGTCATCTTACCTCGTGCTTCGTCCACAGGCAGCGAATTCAGCTCCTCAGAGACAGGCGACGATGCAGACAAGGGAGGCATGTCTGAAAGGTTTCTGCTGCTGCACTCCACAGAGCTGTAATTTATGATATGCAGAACACCCCGCCCGTCGCTCTCTCCATTGACACTGCTGCTTTGGACTAGCGAGTCTGTTTCCCTTGGTATATCCTGGCCCATTTTGCGACCTAGACCTAAACTAACAACCTTCGCCCTGTCTGACCGATTGTGGCAATGCTGATTATGACAGAAAAACAAGAAGCTGAAACCTGACTAATTGAAAAGGAAGAGCGAGGTGTAACACAAAAAGTACAAAAGTGGCATTGAAATGAGAGTGAAGAGAGCAGGAATTGGAGATGAGACGGGATGGACTGCCGGGCTTAAGCTTACCCATCTGCTCCCTATCTTCCAATAGCAACCCTGTGCGCACCGCGATCTAATCTCCTGCCGTCTTTCCGTACAAATTCGCGCCTATACACGGGTGGGGTGTGTGTTCCGTGAGGGACGTGCTTCAACTGACTGTGTCGATGCTTGAAGATCATCAGCCTAAACTGCTGGCAAGCCCCTCGCTCTTTGTGCAGCGGAGGTTGGCTGATGCCGATACAGGTCACAGGAGACAGGGGATGGGAGGAGCATGAGAAATTTATATATAGCGCGGCAAACCTTGCGCCCACAGTACTCGTAAGTGTGCTGCCTGACCGCGTGCCTGCTTTCTGGCCATGCTGCGCATGTTTCAGGCGTGGTGCGAAATCGCCATTTTGGGGGCAGCGTACAGCGGAATTACCTACAGCCGAGGGTTGCGTTTTTCTCCATGCCCTCCTTGACTCTAACATCGTTTCAGCCATTCCAGCCTTTGAGTATGCCATCATTGCGCATGTGTAATTTTAATGCCAAGCTGTTTGGTCTGCATAGCTAGCATATGCTGTGCAAGATGGCGCAATTTCATGTGGACTATCTCACAAACGGTGGCTGTGCAAAAGTAACTAAAAAGTTGTCGGTCAGGATTCAAAATAGAGTTTATCGCACCAGCTGCAAATTTGACAAAACACAAGTCGTAGTATGCGTATAAAACCAGCAGACAATGTCATGGCTAACAAGTAGGCATGCGTATTAAGACGTAGGAAAATATTGTGTTGCTTTTCTGTTAGCGCCACAGTCTCAAAAAAAGAAGGGAGCGCAAGGACGGCACCTGTGGTCAAGAAGCACGGGTGGTGAGACTGCTTGCCAGAGGCAGCAGCATTGATCCCCGGCATTG